ATATTAATAACTAAAATAAATCTTCCAAACTAATTTCATGCACTACGAAGCTGATGATCTATCATATTTCAAAAAATAGCAGGAAAATGTTAAAAATATAAATATTTTCTTACAAATATTTTAGGTAAAAGAATATTAGAAATTAAAAAGTTATTTTCATATTTAATAAATTAAATTTAAAGAGTAACTAATTAATATATCAAAATTCTGTTTTGAATTTTGGGAGAGAATTAAAAAAATGTAATAATAATTATTTTCATAAATATTAAGAATGATCAAGTAAATTATATAAAATTTAAGAATAAAATTCATAAAATGTAAATTTTGAGGATTAATTTGAAAATATTTCAAAAGAGCAAGGAGGCTGCGGTCCCTGCGTCAATGTGTCCCTGCCATGGTCTCCCCTCATCTTGTTATAAATTGGTATTATTTTTTTATAATAAAAATTTACAATAAATCTTATAAAATTTAAGTAACATCAAACGAATAACTACATATAATATTATATTTAAATATGCAACCCATTATTATTATTCATTTTTAATAAGAATTCCTTTCTCTAAAGCTTACTTCTCATGAATTATACCCAATTCATTAATCATTTAATTTTAAAGTTTAGTATTTAATTTAATGTAGAAAATTATATTAAAAATTAACAATCATATAGAAAAAATATCTATCTAATTATTTGTTCTATTATAAACATTTTATATGTTTTAATATATTATTTTAGTCTTGATTATATATTATTTAAATGAATAAGATGTGATCTATAATATATTTTATATAATTATTATTTATATATAAAAATATTTAAATGCCTAATAATGGAGGTTTTTAGACTTAATTAAATATCTTTGGAAAGTTAAGGATCTGAATTGTGAGAAGACAAGTTGCTTTTAGGGACCTAAAGAAATGAATTCGAAGCCATGAGAGCAAAGTGCTCATAATATAGAAGTTAAAGGACCAAATCTACTATTTAACCATTGAAGAAATGGCAAAAGGCCAAGACGGATTTGGTGTCGATGCCTACGTTTTAGGCTCTACGTGGGTTAAGCCTTTGGAAAATAAGTGCCGGTGAAATAAACAGTAGTGTTCCGTTTTTTTGCCGAGAGTCCTTTTCTTTTTCTAATAAGATGACTTTAAATTTTATAAATACTTAATTAAAATCAAATTTTAACGGCTTTTAGAGACAAACTGGGGATTAGAATGAAGACCTGAACATAAAAAAATAATAATAATAAATTTTAATATTTTATTTTGTTAAATTAATTTGATTTATTTTTAAATTTTATTTTATTATATCAAATACTTTTTATGTTTAGTATGAAATATTTTATTCTATTTTTATTATAAATTAATTTAATTATCTAAGATTATAATCTAAATTAATTAAGTAAATATAAAATTTTATTAATTATATATTTTTCGGACATATTATTTCATATAAAATTATATTATTATTCTTAAGAATTTTTTAAATAATTATTTCGCCATTAAAATTGATTTGATCATAAATTATAGATCAAAGAGGAGTCTTGCGCACTCCTCTGTTTCACCAAATCAGAAAGCTCACAACTTGACAGCACCACCCAAAACAACAGAGAGATAACATATGATACGAACAATCCAGCATCTGTCCACAAACAACGCTTCAATTCTCATTCTCTGACCCCAACCCTAAATTTCAACCCCAATACAAAAAGCCTCCTCCTTTCTCTTTGCAGCGGCACCCTGTCACCCCGTTGGATCTCCTACCCCTCAACTCAGGCGGTGCCTCTAGTCCCACTCCAATTTTACATATTATTTACTAATAATTAATTTTTTACTTTATTAAATTATATTATATTATATATACATATTTATTTAAAATACATTTGGTTACTTACATCTTAAAAATAATATTTGAAAAAATTAAAATTTTTTTTAGTAAGCGTAGACTTAATAAATAAACTTTCACCTACAAAAATCAAGGTAAGAAGTAATTATAAAAGAAATAAAAGTAATTATTTTAAAAAGTAATTGATTTAAAATCAATGTAAATTATTATGTTATTAAAAAAAATATTTCTTTGTAAAAATTTTAGAAGATTCCTTGCAAAATATAAGTGATTATATCAGTTGTAAAATTTGTTTAGTTATTACTTTTAAGATTTAAATAATCAAATAGATTTTTAATAGTATATATTTAAATATATAATTCATAAAGAAAAGTTATGTTCTATTTATTTAAGAATAAAAAGGTGATATAA